TACCTACCGATCTCTCCATTAGGGCAATGCCCTCTCCTGGGACACGTGGCACGCTCCCAAGCGACGCCCACAGTCCCACATCGAAATAATCAACAAAATGCACACCTCCCAAGACCTATAAAAGGAGGCCAACTATCCCAAAATAGAGGTAATCAGAACTTACGGCATACAAGCCTATTGATCTGTCAGTTGAACTTTCTATTCCCGAACTTACTTAAGCATCGGAGAGCCTTCGGCCGGTACCACACCGGTGCCCTAGGTCTTACCGTACGTTTGCTCATATTGCAGATCGCGTAGACTACCGAGGCATCAAGGATACCGAAGGCATAAAATTACTAAGTTGACCCTCTAAGTCAAAGAACCACTTTTTGGCGTCAACAGTAAGATTGGAAAATGCGCACCGATATTGACTTTAATCAATCGATTGTGGATTGGGCGGGGAACTGACCCAATATAGATTCTTTTCTATGCCTCAATTAAGAGGACTTCAATATTCATCTAGTGCGAAAATGGTAACTGATAGAAGCTGAAATTGAACGGTAATGGAAATGACAAAAGTTTATCGAAATATTTCTCTATTCAGACAACTTGAAAGAAAAAGGAAATACATAAACAACACAGCCTGAAGATTTCTCTATTCATACCTGGATATATGAAATTAAAATGGAGATTGAAACTTTCTCTATTCAATCTTGTACAAGAAAAAATCATACCAAGAGTTGGCATAGCAAAATAAAGAAAATTCCTCAGGAGTTGTGAACTGGGAATTTAGAGAATGAAAAAAGGAAGGCTGTTTCAAGCTTTTGAGCTGTGTTTATAGACGTTGAGTCTAGTTTTTGTTGGTTCAGTTGTTTGAGTTGAGTTCTTCTCTTTTGCTAATGATTTCTCCTTCAATTTATAGAGAATGAGGTCATGGTGAGTGGGTTGCTGAAAATACAAGCAAACCCAAAAAGGTTGCTAAGAGGCTTTGATGAGAAATGACAGAAGTTTTAACTATTAGCCTTAAAGAAATCCAAAGTATTAACTCATAAACTGAAACTGATAAGCCCTAATTGCAAATCCTTAATTTATAATTCATAAGTTTCAATTGCAAATCCTAATTAATACTTCATAAACTCCAAAAAAAAAATCCTCAAATTAAAACATCAACAAATTTAGGGAAGCTTATTTGACGAATATAGGAACTTGGTTCACTTGAATTAAGTCTTGAAGGTGACTTCAAGGTGAGTGCAGCAACAACAACATCGTTTTTTTTTTCTCTACATGCGAGGGTAGGGTGCTTCTTCTATTTTTTTTTCTTCTACATGTTGTGTGTGAGTTATTTTTTCTCCTCTTTTTAGCATGTGAGCTCTTTTTCTTTTTTTTTTTCCTTCTCTTTTTATTGACTATGTGTTGTGTGTAGGGGTCTTTTTATTTCAGCAGCCTGACGAATGGGCTTGGGCTGCCGTAAGAGGAAGACAAACAAAATTCCCCAATGCCTGAGTTCAAGATCTAGGCTCCCAAAAGAGTTTTGAAAGACTTGCTAAAACCTTAAAAAAATACTTTTGGGTTCTTTTCACCAACAATCAGAGGAACGTAACAAATTGATTAGTGACTTGGCTTGAGGAGCTTGTGGCATGGGAGCTAAGCCTTCACAAGTTTAGCAATTTAAGAGGAAAAAATAACAACATGAATTTCTTTCAAAAGGAGAAGGTTCAAAGTGGGAAAAGGGGAAATTAGGAGGATTTCTATCTCAGAAAGAGGGAAAAAAAAAATGGAAATAAAAGATGGGGTGTCTAGAGTAAATTCCAGTTTGCTCGACAAAGCTTGGTCGTGCTCTGGAATGGTGTGTTTTTCTAGGTAGAGGAAGCTCTCTTTTATAGGCATTTAGAACCCTAATTTCATCGATCCTCCATTCCCACTTTTCCTTTGCTTTTTTCCATTTACTCCATTTTGGTGAAAATTCTCCAACCAAAGTGTATGGGTCACAGGCTCTTTGGGGTTCCAAGGTTTTTTGAGCGGCTGGACCTCCCCATGGGGGTGAGGTGCAACCTGCTTTCCTTCTTGGTTTTCAAAATGGAGCTTACATAGGAAAAGAGAATGGGTAGATTCATTTGTCCAAGGGGTACTCTTCTCACATATATAGATTTCCTTTGGTCCTTGCTATGGCTCCTCGCTGACCATCTTGGAATTCTGACAGGGGTGGAACACGATGCTAGATTTGTTACAAAGCACTGGGCTGGGCTTTGTGTACAGTATTGGGTTATTGGCATGCTACTTCCAGCATCCAATGGGTTTTCGTCAAGCTACTGGAAATAGTCTATTTGTTTTATTTTGGGCATTTTACTGATATGGGTTTGTCTAAAGGTTGCAGTAGGCTAGATATTCTCCTATGGCATTGGATTAATTTTCTCCCTCTCTCATGCTAACCCGTGTGTTTGGGCCCGAGGAATGGGCTTGAGTTTTAATGCTCCCAAGTGGCTTAAAACTTTAGTTCCTCGAACCCTCAATGGGCCCTGTGATCGCTTGTTCTCATCCATACCACAACCTTCTTAGCAAGCCCCGAGTAATTACGTGGCTTGGGCCCACTTAAGCTTGTAGCACGACTTGGTATTAGAATAGCAGTCCTTTACATGGCATCGCGTATTTATTTATCATGCTTGTGCTTGAGTTTTATTGTGCCACAATAAGCCATGATCGGGCCAAGTAGCATCGAATAGGTTGGTGAGCGTGAATTTATAAAGCCGGTGCGTTTTTTGGCCCTTTTGCGCATGCTTACTTGGCGTGACACATGACCCATGGCTTATGTAGGTGTGTCCTACAATTTCTCTTATGTCCCGATCGGGCTTCTTTGTGATCAATTATTTGTGCTAGGCCAAGAATAAACCTGGGCCTAGCTCTTGGATTTTTGGGCCTCAACATTGTGCAAGGAGGAGAACTAAAGGAAGTTAGGTTATTTAAATTGGGTGAGCTAGAATTTTTTTTTTTTTTTTGGGCTGGAAAAAAAAAGGCCACTTGAGCTATAGCCTAAGTTAGCTAAACTAAAGGTCCGTCCCTGGGTGTGAGACCGAGAGCTCTTAGACGCTCGGGACCCACCATGAGTTACATGCATGCATCATGAATACGAAGAGGAGGAGGAGGAGGAAGCGATTGATTCTCAGCTAAACTTGGTCCAATGTTCTTTCTATTTTTGTACTAGGGAGATAGCAGCCCTCAGGGGACACCTTCCCCCGAACCTTTCCACTTGCTCCAAATTTGACTTGATAACAGTTTGTTTGTGAAAATGCCACTCCCTTGCACTCAAGTTCGATCCCGAACAATTTACTTGCGTTTCATGCGTAGCAAGCGCACGTGGCAATGGCATGAACCCACGTGGATGTCTCCCTTTGGGATGGCAATGCATTTGCCTTCATGTCTCAAGTTTCAACGGTCCAACTTTTGTGTGAAAATCCATTGTGAACACGGCAAAGTCAAAAATGAGCGGAGAGTACATTAATTCGCTGGCAGATCTAATGGTGATATGAGGACGACCTCACTTTTCTTTCATGGGGAACTTTGTAGTCCGTGACGCAACACGTGTAGGTTTTTGAGAGGTCGATTTCGGGTGGGTATAGCCAGTGTTTGCTGGACCTGCCAAATAATGGGATAAACTTGTATGCTAATTAAGGCTCAGCACAAAAACAAACAAGAAAATGGGATTCTGGCACTAACATGCTTGCCATTGTTTGCGGTGGAGAAATTTCAGCAGGAACTTGAAAGCATGATGATTGTGGAGCTTGTGGAGGATCATTATCAACTTAAACCTACTAGGATTATGTCCACACTGTAATGAATATCGCTACATTTTAAAATAATTTCGCACAATTTTGATATGGCACTCATATACAAAAATCCATTGTTTCCGGATTTTATTTAATTATGTTTCCAAAATACACCCGATGTGTTTATGCCCTAAACACAAATGCAATTCAAACTTGGAACATCTCCGAACATTATGTAAAGAAATACCAATAGACCATGAGCCAATTGGTGTCATTAACTTCGCTTATGAGTTCAGTATTGAAGGATTTGATAGCTGTTGACATCCTTAACCACAATATTCCAAGCTTTTTACAGAATCAAACGCTGTAACCATCCAGTTCTGGTGCTTTTCTGTCCCTTTGATACTTTTGATCTCCTCTTCGAGCACTTGCTCATGCTGGACTTGCGTTAATCAATGATCTAGATATAAAGGATTGTGACATATTTGGGTTTATAACGCAAAACAAACAAGAGTAGCAAGGCCGATCAGACTGTTTATGCAAATCTGAAATCCTATCAGTTGAACCTGGTCAGCTTTCACAATAACATAAATTTCGAAACGCCTCTTCTCCTCTTGTGGAAGATGATTATCAGCTAGACCAGTGAGTGGCTGGTTCTCAACGGTTTCAAAGATCTCGTCCGGCCTTAGTACTGTGCAAGTAATCTCAGCATATCCGATCCCTCTAATTCTTTCTCATTGTAGGCTTCAAAATAGAGAACAAAACATAGAACACTAGTTATTAGAGTACCGAACTTTTTCTACAACAGTCATATTCAAAGTTGCCCAGAGATATTGAAAACTTGACAGGTTTACCACCTGAAAACAATTTGGGTTTTAAAACCAACAATGCTCGAAAGAGGCTAATTTTCACTTGGTAACATACAATACCTAAGGGACACGAAAAATCTCTAACAAGGGAGAGAATTAAATACTCAACCTAGGGCTACAGCATAAAATTTCTGTTTCTATTAGTATCATTCTTTCTCCCACTAGAAACTTCAGGCTAGCGGTGGTTAAAGGCATATGATATAAAATGGACAAAAATTTCATTTCACAGCCCACATAACTCTAGATATGACGACAGTAACAATCATCCTTCATAGTCATACAACGTTTAACAAACCAGGGGCACGCGATGGGAGCTGGAGAGATTTAACACAAGTCAACATATAACAAACTTTCTGAAACACGTCGTAAAACACAGCAAAGGATTTTTTTACTTCGTTTTTTATTGTCATACTGTATTCCACATGAGAAAGGGATCATTCTGATTCAGCTGGAGGCTTTTCTCTGGGATGTTTGGAAGCATAGTGATCGCCAAGCTGCTTTGGATTTGCAAGTTGCACCTGAAAATACACATTTCGTCAGATGTGGTGCTTAGTAAACTGTCAAAATATATATAAATAAAGAACCCAGATAATTTTTGCTAAACATGCATTGTCTCCATACCATAACTATACACATTAAGTCCTAACAGATCATCAAAAACACTTGTAGTACCGCGTAGACAAAAGATTGTGACAAACCCAGTCACATACAGACTTTTAAATCACAGGCCATTCCCACATATGACGTGACATGACATAACATAGTTGCAATTCTATACAGAAACAGGATAGACAGCTGGCATTCCACTCTAGCTTCTATTGTGTGCACCCTCAAGAGAATCATATTGCTAATTATGCTCAAAAGCACGTGAAAGACAATCTGATGATATACTCAAGAGACATGTAGGAAGCTCCCTGCGAAAACTTTATACAGAAGTAGAGGAGATTCTTTAAATGGAGGTCATTCAGTAAGTCTTGGTATGAACTTGAGCTCACCATACCACTATGGTTGATATACCGTCTTAGGTTGCTGCTCGTCCATTTCCACCAAAGTTTCCACATAAACTATCAAGACTAATTGAGACAGATCCAACATTGTATGTCTTATCAAGGGACATCCACTATTTCCACATCCTTTCATTTAGTTAGGTACAGACCCACTATCTTAAGTGCGTCCCAAACCTCTTTCAATGATATACGGGTCACTAACTCTAAGGCAACACCTCTTCCAAAAATGGAAACCCAATAATACTTTTTGAATTGCATCAGTCAAAGAATTGCATTTCTTTCAAAGAGGAGATCTGGTAGTGACATTGCAGGACACCCTGCTTCCTCGCTTTTAAATAAAATGTTTCCTGTATTGACCTTTAAATTGGAGGTACCTAACTTCACTGCGATATTTGTCAAGTTGCAAAGCTCGAATGCTTACTATTGATCAAAATTCAGTTCCCTTTCTCTTAGTTAATTCTAATGTGTGGGGTCCTCCTGTTAATTTAAATGGGTCTAACAATGCCCTGTGACATTTATTTATGGCTATTCTCAAAAAACTTGAATTTATGTGCTTGCAAACAAAAGTGCGGTTTTCTCTCTCTTTCAAGTCTATCATAACATGGTCCACAATCCTCACCCAGTTAAATTCTAGAATCCAAGTCCCCAATATGATCATGGGCAGAATATATGAAGATATTATCCATTATCCATAAAACTATCTTATACTTGTAAATAATATGCAGTTGCTGATGGTAAGAATTGTTGCCCTTTACATGTTATAAGATCTCTCTTGTTTACTACGGATTCATCAGTTTAATACCGGGGGTGCTGTACTAACTGCACATAACTGATTGGTAGGACGCCCTCTGGGGTCCTTGCATGCAATGTCTAGTAAAGGCTTGTCCAACAATTCCCAACCTCTCAAGTATTTGGCCTTTTTCTACTGTTCCTATTGCTTTCCAAAATGGGATTAGGACTTGCACCAATTAGTCTCTAATTTTATTTCCTCAGATTTTCTCTCACCCTCCATATCATCCCAGCTCCTCTAGATTAACTTCAGTTTACTCCCCAAACTCTACAGGAAACTCTACAGGATGATTTGAATGATCCCAAGTGGATTGAGACAATGGAGGAAGACAGCATTTCATCATAGTTGCACTTGGGATTGACTGTTACCCAGACAGAGATTGTTGGCTACATGTGGCACACGAAACATAGGGCAGATGGATTCATAGAGAAACATTTTTCTCATGTAGCCAAGATGGATTCCATCTATGTTTTGATATCCTTTGTTTCCAACTTACAGTCCGAAAAAATATGTTTCCACTGAATGTTTAAAAGATGAGGTGTATTTGGATATTCTCCCTGATTTGCGAGCTGAAGCAATCACCAAGAGCTTGATATGAAAGGTTCTCAATATTTATACCAGAATTTGGCTACCACAGTCAAAAGGACCATATCTTATCCTCAAAACATTCTCACCACCAAGGTAAATTGACCTAACTGATTGTATATGTCAATAGCATTGTAGCTACTGGTGAAGAGTTGAAGAAATAGGGAAACTAAAGTCTCACTTCGGAAAGGAATTTGGAATCAAAGACTTGGGTAACTTAGGGCAGTTCCTAGATATTGAAGTTGCAACAAATCAGGGGGCATCTTCATCTCAAAAAGGTCCTCGTCCAACTTGAAGTGACAAGATTGTTGCAATGTAAACAGATGAAACTCCTACTGAGATAGCAAAACCATAAGTTGGAGGATACCATAGAAAACACTGCCACTGATCGGAGGTCGTTAAAAAAGACTTGTAAGGAAGCTAGTGCACTTGTCTCATACTCGACCAGATATACGCTAGCCCCTTTCAGTGTGATCAATTTACCTTGAGTAACCCATATGTAAGATGTTTATAGGATTCTGAGGACTTAAAATTAGCACCAGAAAAGGGGTTTGATGTAGTACAGCCCGTAGGTATTAGATTAAGTACTTAAACAATAGAACAGAGAAGAATATAAGAGATCGAGGAGACGAAAATATAGATCGAAAAGACGAAAGAAAGGGCAGAACAGTAGAACAAGAAGAATATCAGAGGTCGAGGAGACGAAAATATAGATCGAAAAGACGAAAGAAAGGGCAGAACAGTAGAACAAGAAGAATATCAGAGGTCGAGGAGACGAAAATATAGATCGAAGGGACGAAAGAAATGACCGAAATCAGAGAACCGAGAAGGAAGGACAGAAATCACAAAGTTTTAAGAGAAGGTTTAATCAATATTCAAAACTGAATTGTAAAGAACTACATGGGGGTATTTATAGCAAACTAAAACCTAGACATTATAGGATAAAAATCCCTTGCTTAAACAGAAATCCTAACCCAAATAGAATAGGAAACTTAAAACTAGAAATCTGGAAAAGTTGAAATCCTGCTAGAATTTGGAAAACTAGAGAATCTAGGAAACTAACAAATGCATTAGGAAACTAATAAATTTAGGTTCTACGCGTCCTGCATCAGGGTTTCTTTTTCCAGAGATGATCATCAACAGGTGGAATCCTATATATGTGTATTGGCTGGCTCAGTCACAAATAGGAGGCCAATATCGCAGTACTCCTCTTTTGTAGGTGGAACCTCGGTAACATGACACAGAAAAGAGAAGTTAATGGTTGCCAATTTGACACCAGGAGGTTGGTTTTGAGACATGACCAATAGCCAGTGGGGTTTGAGTTAATTTGGCTAAAATCCTAGTGCACAAGGGACCTGTAAAATCATATTATGACAACAAATTATGACAACAAGGTTGTCATCAACATTAAAAATAATCCAATCAAACATGAAAACAAGCTAAACACATTGAGGTGGATTCACACTCCAAAGAGAAACTAGACTTTTCTGTAATCTACACCCCTTTTGTGAAGACAGGACGGCAACTTGTTGATGTATTCACAAGGGGGTGTTTAGTACTCTTCCATTCATTGGTTGACGAGCATGGTATACGACCATCAGCTAACCAAAGTTTCTCATAGGTTTTCAAAATATTGCCAAAAGACATGCTACGTCACTTTTGAAAGTAAAAAGTTAATGGACATCAGAACGTTTTGGGCTCCTCTATTGTATGAAGATTTTTTTCCACCCTATGTTTCCACTCATCTCTCATGTCAACTTTACTCCCATAAGTTCCCTCCACTAACATTGCTAGAACAAAAACACAAATGAAACACACATGCTCAACCCTTGAAATTGAAAAAAAATATATATTATATTGAAAAAAAGAATACAAATTTATAAATAAACCCAATCCTAGACATGTATTTATAAAAAAACCCAAACACTATTTAAACATAGAAACACACCCAAAATCAACCCCAAAATCAATAATTGTATATTTTTTGGGTGTGTTTATAAATGGGTTTTGAGTGTGTAATGATGGGTTTTGGGTGTGTTTATAAAGTGTTTTGGGTGTTGGGTGTTGGGTTTTTTTATAATTTCAGCCCCCATTTTGGGTGTTTTAGTGAAACTCCCAAAAAAGAAAGTGTGGAAGGGGAAGGGGGGGTGGAGGTTGTGGTCCTCCAAGACCACACCCCACCTCTTCTTATTCTTACGCAACACCATTGTCTTTCTCTATTGTCCCATCAAGACCAAAAACCAAGCATCATATCTGCTACACCCGTCACCACCACTCACCACCTCAACCCAGTCACCATCCAACCCAATCACAACAATGAACAAACCTATCCAAAACCTATAAATGTCCCTAATCCAATGCAAAGATAAATTATTCAAATTGATATCAAGGTAAGGCTGCAACAATAACAGATAATCAACACAAATTGTGGAAATGGTCTTCTGATTTTAGTTCCTTATCTTGATGAGATCAATAAAATATAGCATCCACAAGCTAAAGCTGATGTTTTAAGATTGAACAAAGCACAAAATAAATTTATTAGTAACGATCGCTAAAGTAGCATAGAAACAAAACCACAAGCTCGCAAAGTGATACATCACAAGGGGTGTAGTAGTTCACAACAGTAAGTTGATCTAAAAGAAATATAAACTCCAAAAGGATGGAGCCATCCTTGATGTATACAAAAAACACAAGAATATTGCAAAGAACAGTCTTGGTCCGCTGTCATTGTGCTGTATAAGCCAAAATCCCTTAAAATATAACTTATCTGTTTTCCTGGCCTCTAAATTACTTTTTTCTTAATCTATATAAAAAACACCTTAAGTCTAAATTTCTCAAGGATGTTCCCCTTAATATGATTATTCTGGATTGGTCAGCTCATTGAGCTCTGGGGTGTTTGGTCTCTTAGCTATGTGGGGTTCTTTAGGTTGTGTGGCCCTGTTTGTTTGGTTTTCTCTGTTGTTTTGTTCTCACTTTGTAGCTGTCTTTGGTGGGCCTCTTGTCCATCATGTCATGTACTCCCTTTTCTTTCTGTAATAAATTTTCGTTCTAAAAAATAATAATAAAACTATCATACAAATTGGATCCGGAAGAACACTACCGAACTCCATAGGGTCCGTAAAACTAGAATGACCACAAAGCGAAAAACATAAATCTGTATTTGCTTCGTCCCACTTACACATCTAGATCAAAATAACAACTAGAGTCACTTCTATGAACATAAAATCTCACTATGAACCTTCATACAAAACTTTCTCTACTTTTGTACTCTGTGCACGTCAATTAACACCATGTCACTTCAAGCGCTTTCTTTTTTCACAGAAAAAGAAAGAATAATAACTAGAACAAAGTAAGGGGAAAACTGATAAACCCATATATACCAAGCAAATTGACACCTGAAACAATACTCATCATTGATTTTGACTTTCTGGTATAATCTATCCAAAATAACTTTAAGACCTATGATTGTTTATAGAATCACAAAATTCAAGAGGGCTCCAAAATATAAATATCATAAAACAAAACAAAAAAAGAAATTGGGTTGATGGGTTGGTTTCGTAACACTAAGAATTCATCATCAATCATCATAACTAAATTGGAACATAACAGAAAAAATGCAGGAAAAAAAAACACCAAGAAGATCATGATGATGATAATAACAAGGTGCAAATGATATGATAGGTAGGTAGGAGCGGTATAGACCTTGCAAATAGGACAAGTGATTTTGAGAGCAACGGCTCTGGCCTCAAATTGAGACCCCTTTTGCTTCTGATTCTTCTCCGCATTTCGTTTTTGCGCTTCAATCTTCTGCTTTCCCCGAGTCATTTTTCCCGGTCTCTCTCTCTGAGGCTCTGGGAGAGCAAAAATGCGTGAAATTCTAATTCAAAGAATCAGAGAGTGAAAGAGAGAGAAAGTTGATGACATGTGGCCCACATGATGTGCGTGGGTGAGTGTTCCGTCTATGCATTTGCGTGTGGTGTGTGGGCCCCAAACCACGTTTACGATGAGTCCATGGGCCACCAACTTTGCTCCGGTTAGCTGCTGCCCTTTTTAACCCACGCGGCGTTGTTTTCTTCTGTTTTTTTTTAGAGATTTTCTATTTAAATTCCGCACTTCTCTTTGTTCACCACAATACTTAAATTATTAAGTTGTAAGTTTTATTATTGTGTAAAAAGATTAAAAAAAGGTCATCCAACTTAATAATTAATCCTAGTACATCTATACACACACCACACACCCCACACACAAGGTCATCCAACTTAATAATTAACCTTAGTACATCTATACACACACCCCACTACTCTTCATATCAAGTTTTAGAAAAATAAAAACCTCCTCTACATCATATTGCTAATTACTCTTCTCTTTTAAAGACATAGAAAATTGATGAGTCTACCTCTTTAAATATGCGTGGGAGTTGATGAAAAGGCTTGTTGATTATCAACTCAATAATACCCAAGTGTTGGAATTCCAGTTACAGTTCTTGGAGAGATATAAAGTTGTTCTTTTTCTCTAGAAAGTATTAAATTTCGGGTTTAGGGTTCTATTTGTTTTTTTTTTTTTTTTTGCTAGGAACAAATAAAATTGGGGGGTTTAAAAAGAAAATCTCTTTTATTTCTTTTTTTTTTTTGTCAGTTTGGGGTGTATTTAAGGGTAGTTTGGGAAGATAGTGGGGTTTTCTTAGAAATTGTGAAAATTTAAATTAAAAGATGGGATGAACTTAGAACATGGGGTGAACTAAGAGAAGTGTGGGGTTTAAATAGAAAATCTCTTTTTTTATAAGGATAATTGTCGAAATGTCACTTGAATTTGTACTTCAGTTTCAATTTATCATTTTAAAGAAAAATTTAAGAGAAATATCACTTTAAATTTTCAAAATCTATGATTTTTCATCTGACTTTAACACCATTCAATTTTCCATCCATTTTAGGGGTATTTTAGTCTTTCTATTTTCAAGAAAAAAAAAAGAGAAAAAAGAGACCTTTCTCTCCCTTTCCTAACCCCACCCGCCCCAAAACATATTGCGCAGGACCCCCCTCCCCCCTCCTCTCTCTCTCTTTGACTATGTATAAATTTTTTTTATAATGATTTTTCCATTTTTAAAATACCCTTGGATTGGAAAGTACTAAAATACCCTTAAAATCAATGGAAAATTGGATGGTGTTAAAGTCATATGACAAATAATGGATTTTGAAAAATTAATGTGACATTTCTCTTAAATTTTTTTTTAAGGTGACAAATTGAAACTGAGGTATAAGTTCAGGTGACATGTCTACAAAAATCCCCTTTTTCTAAAAAAAAATCAAACTTTGGATTTAAAAGTATTTATCTCAGCACTCGAAGTCATATGTTCGATTCTTTCTTTTCAATATCGCTTGTGTCAAATCATAAGTCAAACCTTTTTTGGATCATTTAACAAAACCTGAACTTGGTTCTAGTTGGAGATCCTATAATAATGGATTTTGAAAAATTAATGTGACATTTCTCTTAATTTTTTTTTTAAGGTGACAAATTGAAACTGAGGTATAAGTTCAAGTAACATGTCTACAAAAATCCCCTTTTTCTAAAAAAAAAATCAAACTTTGGATTTAAAAGTATTTATCTTAGCACTCGAAGTCATATGTTCGATTCTTTCTTTTCAATATCGCTTGTGTCAAAGCATAAGTCAAACCTTTTTTGGATCATTTAACAAAACTTGAACTTGGTTCTAGTTGGAGATCCTAGAAGGTACTTAGGCCATCTCCAGGTGGGGAGGGCTACATTTAACCTCTAAAAAATAATTTTGTAAGGAATAATATCATGCTACATTTTAACCGTATCCAACAGCAAAGGCTAAATTTAATATTTTAATAGTTTTTAGTATATTATGCAAATTTATTAGTTAATTTAATTAAGCTACTATTTATATCCTATTTAAAATACATTTTAGAAGAGAAAAATATTTTGGGATAAGATTTTTGACATCCACATGTCGGCATGTGATTAGCCTTATAGATTTATGATTAGATGTTTTCTTGTTCTAAAAATAACTTAAAAATTAATTTAAATGGAAAAATATAAAGGATAATTTTTAAAAGAATATAGCGATTGTGAGATATTATGTAAAAGGATGAAATTGAGGAAGGATAATATGTAAAATGATGAAGATGTGAGAAATTATGTAAGAATAAGGTATTTATATATAATAATAAAAAAATATATGAATTTTGTAGAAATTTTTTTATAAAAAAAATCATTTTTTTATTTAAATAATAATAATAATAATAATAACTGGCTAACATCACCTAACGGCTAGGTGACATCAGCTAGGCCATATCCAAATATTTAGTCCGGGCTAGTCAAAAAGCCACATGTGGCCCTCAATTTAGGAATTGGCCCTTTGTGTAACCCTCCTTTTTTTCATAGCCTTGTGTAGCCCACTCTTGGAGATGGATTTTGGGCTATAATTTAGGAATTTGGCCTAACTTGGAGATGGGCTTTTATCTCAAACTCTAAAATAAAGTTATAATTATCTAGCATAATGATATTCCTTATTTCAATTATTTCCATACTGAAAGAGATCTTAAGTTTGATTACCAAAATTAAGTTTCTAGAGAAAAACAATGAAGGTAGCCAGTTAAGGAATTCAATAGATGACCCAGTGGAGACCAACCTACTTTATAATGTCATCTACAAAAAAAGTGCTCACCATTTAACGAAAAAACACTCCTAGCTAAAAAAATCCTAGCCCCCTCTTCCCCAATAAACACTCCTAGCGTCGTTTTTACTTTGAGGTTGGAGGAAGCCATTCTTCTTCCTCCCCTGTCTTCTCCTTTCTTCCCCCATTTTCGGTGACATAAGGTTTTCTCCTATTGTCTTCGTTTTGTTATGATTTTCCTACACCCATCACAGGTGGCTGTGTCTCAACATCGGATCTCCACCACTATCATTTCTCTGACAAGCCAACATCCTTAATGTCGTTGTGGGCAAAGACTTCGTCTACGTCCCCGTCGACCGGGCAGCCTAAAGAGAGTATAGGAGCCCAATGGAGTACTTGTGGAAACATACGGCGAACCTAGACATGCGTATCTAAGGCCACTAGCTAACCGAGGACATATTGGGCCGTATGTTGTCCATGTCTTAACAAGAACTTTCCTCATTCCACCTTTAATGCCCCTACATTGGGTCACAAGCCCGTGTTACTAGGCTCGGCCACCATTATCATTTCTTATGTTTCCTTATGTTTAGAATAAGTCGCAGAGACTCTTTGGATTTTCTATGTAGTTTTCACATCTCTTTTTCTGAGAGTTTTCTATCTCTCTGTTGTGACGTTTTATTTATAGTTTTATGGCTTGGTTTTTTCAAGCTTTATCTCGTTTTGGTTGTTCTGAGTTTGCAATTTTAGTTGGGATGCCTATGCTAGAGTTTCTTTCATGCCGAAGCCAAAGAGAGAACTTAGCAAGGTGATCCACTATCTCCGTTTCTTTTCCTTATTTATGTTGAATGGTTTACGACATTAGTCTGACAACTTAGGTCCTCCATCATTTTTCTGTTTTTCCCTTCAACTTTCTCATCCTAAACAAAATTCTGTACTTTATTCATACATATAAAATTTATTATTTCATGGTTTCCTGTGTCTAATCAAATCCTAACATTAATTTCTTTTATATTTGTACAATTTTGTCAAATTCTTAAATGAAAAAGAAATTATCTTAATAGACACTTGTCCTTCAGAATTAACAATACTAGGGTACCATGTGATATAGTTCTTAAGTCCATTCTATCATAGTTAGGGGTTGGACTAATCACAATATGATCACTTATGAAAATAATCACTTACTTAATTAGTTGGATTTTTAGCTTCATTATTCGGATTGGGATTCTCTATTGACTTTTTTTGTGTGTTCATCTCGTACTTATTTAAAGAACTATGTTGTTTTACATATGTATATAATTGTAGTCAATAATACTCGAGATACAAACTTATCACAGCAAATTTTGGTTAGTGACTAATGTCACAACTTTTATTCGTTGTGAATAACGAAGGTCAGAGTGAGCCCATACTTGAAATAAATGAAACATTGTCACATCAATTGTAATTTTAGAATTTGTGTAATATTTTTTTTGTTTTTGAGAAATGGATTTCATTCATAAAATCAAAGTAAATAGAACGACACGAAACAGTGACCTCAGTAAAACCTTCCTGACCGATAAACCCCAGGGTAGGAAAGAGTACCACACGTGTCATGGACAAACAAGAGAGTCTGAAACAGTCACGCATGACCAATGCTAGAGCAAGAAAAATAAAACAACAAACTGAAACATAGACCTCCAACGAGAACACTACAACACAATCCAATTGTCAAAAGAGTCTTGCTATGAAATCATAGTCCTTTGCACAGCTACAAGACAGTGAGAGCATCCAACAGAGAACACATCAATATGCCAAGAAGAAAGAAACAACCACTAAGCACACCATCTCCATCCACCTCTAGAAGCAATTGGTGATAAAAGGAGATAAATCTGCAACAAGTAACACAACGAGGAGACTTACTTCGCAAACAAGCCAAGAAATAAATACAATAAAAAACCCCCCAAGCACACCGTATCATCTGAACACTGACAAAGAAACCTCCTATGAAAACATAGTCCTTGAGATAGGAGAAGAATCCAGGATCAGCTAAGGGGAGAACGAAGAAAACACCAAGCAACAATAACAAAACTGGCCTCAGCCACTTAACCTAAATATGGGGATTAGGCGCAAAATCATTCACCGGATGCCAAGCCCACGAATGCTCCAAGAATACATTAAGGAAGGCACCTAGGAGACTCTACTAGGCCAGTCTCTATAGGTTTGTCAGGAGGGACTTACACGCTTATGCTATATTCGATTCGTGCGCTTGCGAGTTTATAACTTTTAAAAGAAACCTCTTTTGAGGCACAACAGAAACCAAGGCATCTCCAA